TATATATGCCACCTTACCTATGCATGAAAAGATTTTTTTTTTACCCATTTTAAAAGTTATAATAGTAATATTTTTATGTGATATGAAAGACTTGGGAGGTAGAAAAGTAAAAAATAAAATTTAGATGTTAGATATGTAAATAAATAGGAATTGCATGGTATGTATGTAAATGACCGTACAAAAACCCGATAAAAAAGTGTTCCAGTACTAACTCTGTGAATGTTGGAATAAAACAAAATACAAATGCACCATGTCATCAACCACTTGTACCAAACTGCAAATGCCTAAATTGCATATAATTTTGATATTGTTATAAAAAAGGGAATGGTGCCATAAATTTTCCTCACCTTTACCGACGACCTGTTCGATAGAGCATCCATAATTCCCCATTCAGCTTCTTGGGAAGCAATTGCTTCCATGTTAAGAGATCCAACACACGGCCATTTTATCGAGGCCTTGGGCCTAGGAGCCACCTTCTTGTATGCTTGACTTGGAATATGCCAAAATATTAACTCAGGGACCCTAAGAAAGACAACATGAGCTTCATTTATAAAGATATGAAATTTATAAAAGAAAATAAAAAAAAATTACATACATAGCACACAATTCTTATGAATTTACATCTCACACAAACTTTCATATTTACATACATAGCACATTAGAGGTTTAAACTTATGCATGAAAATGTGAGTTTCACTTTTAAAAAAGTGATAATAGTGCTATTTTTTATGAGATATTAAAAAATTTAATGCTGCCATGTGTGTAAATATGAAAGTTTAGGAGTGAAATACGTAAATACACGAGAATTGTGCAGTGAGTATGAATTAAAATCTCTCCTTTTATTGCCTACCGTGAATAAGGATTGATAGTTTGTGATTGTTCCTGAAACCATTTAACCTGAGCATATGATATGACTTCAGGATAGGAGCCGCCGCCGGAATCAAAGAAATATAAGAAAACAGATGGTGATTTTGGGTTTGTGGATGAAGAAATTTGCAAAATATAATTGGATACAGAAGGCGAAAGTTCTGTTGGACCAATTTGTGAATGAGACAAAGGATTTTTTAATATCTCCATTTTCATTAAGTCGATTCGAGTAGTTCCTCTGAAACTGAAATCCTTCTCTCCTGTTTCATAAGTATTCAGATATCTCTAGATTCTTAAGAAACTAGATACGCTTCAGCAAAATATATCTAAAGCACATACTGTTAATATTTTAAAGGATGATTTACATGCATAGCACTCAACTCTTATGTATTCACATATCTAACACCAAAACTCCAATCTTTACATACATACCACCTTATCTATGCATGACAAGGTGTATTTCACTTTTTAAAACTTAAAATTGTGATAGTTTGATTTGATATGAAAGATTTGGCTGTGTCAATTAAAGACGTAAAGTTTAGGTGTCAGATATGTAAATGCATAGGAATTAGGTGGTATGTATGTAAATGCCCCTATTTTAAAATGCTTAACAAGCATATAATGCTGAGACATAACAGGGAAAGAAGAAACAGAAACATGATATTTACTGTTCAAATACTGTGAATTACAAGAAACTATAGTTGAAATGTGCAATACTTGTATGAACCAAAAATCCTGAAAAAATTTAAGCAGTCTGACAAAAGAATTTAGATAAATGGGCACTTCAGAAAGATGACTTAAGAATTGCTGAAGGATACATTTAACTTTCCTTGGAATGTAATTATGAATCTCAGAATAGCATAACAAGTTACAGAAAGAATTACAAACATACTATTCAATAGATATGTTTTTACATATCTAGCATCTAAACTTCTATTTTTATATATGCCACCATACATATGTATGAAAATGTGTATTTTACCTTTTAAAAGTTATAATGGTTGTATTTTTTATGTGATATAAAATATTTGGTATAAATGTAAAATTAAGTTCCAGGAGTTATATATGTAAATACATAGGAAATGAGTGGTATGTATGTAAATGCCCCAAAAATTAATTGACCTTTTGAATATAAATTCTACCTGCAGACCAGGTCTCAGTTGGAAAATTAACCCCTGGAATCCCAACCATTGAAGTTGGAAAGTTAACCCCTGGAATCCCAGCCATTGAAAACCAATCCAACGGCCACTCAAAAAATGCGTCATTGTGACTACCAAAACTCCAATTTTTACATACATACCCACCTTATCTGTGCATGACAAAATGTATTTCACTTTGTAAAGCTTAAAATTGTGATAGTCCTGATTTGATATGAAAGATTTGGGTGTGTAAATGTAAAAAAGAAAAGTTTAGGTGTTAGATATGTAAATGCATAGGAATTGTGTGGTATGTATGTAAATGCCCCTATTTTAAAATGCTTAACAAGCATATAATGCTGAGACATAACAGGGAAAGAAGAAATAGAAACATGATATTGACTGTTCAAATATTGTAGATTACAAGGAACTTTAGTTGAAATGTACAATAATTGTGTGAAACAAAAATCCTGAAATAATTGAAGCAGTCTGACAAAAGAATTTAGATAAATTAGCACTTCAAAAAGATGACTTCAGAGTTGCTGAAGGATACATTCAACATTCCTTGGAATGTAATTATGAATCTCAGAATAGCATAACAAATTAGAGAAAGAATTACAAACATACTATTCAATAGATATATATTTACATATCTAGCATCTAAACTTCTATTTCTATATACATGCCACCTTACCTATGTATGAAAATGTGTACTTCATCTTTTAAAAGTTGTAATGGTTGCATTTTTGATGTGATATGAAATATTTGGTATAAATGTAAAATTAAGTTCCAGGAGTTATATATGTAAATACATAGGAAATGAGTGGTATGTATGTAAATGCCCCAAAAATTAATTGACCTTTTGAATATAAATTCTACCTGCAGACCAGGTCTCAGTTGGAAAATTAACCCCTGGAATCCCAACCATTGAAAACCAATCCAACGGCCACTCAAAAAATGCGTCATCGTGATTACCAAATAATGTTGCCCAAGGGATCCCTCTGTTTCTAGTTGGAGAAATGGCTTGCGCCCAATACAAACTTGCATTTGGAGTTGGGAGGTTATTTGCAGTAATGACATCCCCAAGGTAGATTACAAAGTCTACAATATAAAATTTAAGATTTAATATAAGGTCAAGCATGCAAAACAAATATGACATGTTTTAGGTCACTAAAAGTACATGGCTGCAATAACGAAAAGAATAAAAAGGGAATAATAAACAACCCGTAAAACATAATTTCTATGACGAAAGAGTACATCCGAGTTATCATTTCAATCAACAATTATCAGCAGCTCAATAGTACTGGATACGAGAGAAAAGAGATTTGAGAGAGAACACGAGGAGGGGGGAGAGAGAAAACAAATATCAATGTAATATTTCATTCAATACTCATTTAATGTTGCAAACTAGAGCTAGTGGTTACTTTTTTAGTAGATGGATACTAAGACTACAAGCAAATACAATGATTGAAAACAATGTTAACCACCCAAAGGACCCAATATAATTTCATTCAAACAAAGTTGCTCAACAACTAAGACGAGGGACAAGGGCTGGTGGCAAAAATAGAGCTGGTGTTGTTGGAGGGATGTATAAGATCCATTTGTAGACTTGCTGTCAAATTTGGAGGTCAAAAATGTCACCTATGGAATTAAATTCTCAATGTTGAAGGTCAGTTTAATACTCATGCCGGCCGGCAAACAAATCAATAATAATCACATTTGGTCTAAAACTATCCAAGTATTTCATATGAGGCTGAGATTCGAGATTGGTATCTTAAGGGAGATATGCTAGAAGAGATCGGGTGAATGCAAATTAACGCATAAAAACCTTCATTATGTTGCTATAATTTTCTATGAGCAAGTGATATAATTTTATAGTTTCCCGTTTCTCAAATCAATTTGTGCTTTAATATCAAAAAACGACTTGTTAATATGCTCAACAAATGCTGCAACAAAATCAAAATGTGCATGTAATTCTGAGATTTATAATATTCTTAGGTTGTGATTTATCATCACTTCAATATGTGATTGCCTGGTGGTGGCGTTGAGAAAGTTGAGGCAAATTCAATTGTACTTAATAATAAATCTCAATTTCTTAAATTACTGTCAATAACTTGACTTAGAAAATCTCTTAGACTGCTATTTAAAATTTTTCAATTATCCATCTATATAGGGCGATAGATGGATAAAAACTTTAATTGTCCTAAAAAATTTTCATAATATTAATCATAAATAATTGACAAATCTTATATCCCTTTTGAATACAATGGAAGCAAGGAGATCATACAGGTAAACGTTTTCTTTAGAGAATAATATAGCCACAAGAGAGGCATCAGCAAGTATTAAAATATGTAATGAAATTTATCATTTTATAAAGCATACTGGCAGCCACTAATATGGAATCAAAAGAGCATCACACTTTTGCATGGCGGGTGAGGGCTTCAAAAGAGCCTCGCACTAGAAGAAGGGTACTGACCAAAGGGATAGAAATCAAACTCAGTATGATACTTACTGGAAGGCATATTGGAATATATCCTAGAGATTTCCTTAAATTGGTATAAAGTACATGACAAATTTACTTAATACCAAGGGATCATGGTTTATCATAAGCACAAGCATCGTGATTAATTATTTTCCATGTGACACCTGAGAATAGTTTTTCTTAAGCAGATTTGGCTTGGGTTCCTGATACGGCAAAAGAGATTAAACTAGCAACCTTACATAAGAGGTGCCCGCAAGAGGTAAATTGGCAAAATGATTGGGGTATCAATGTAATCACAAGGAATTTAGATTCTTTTCTTTTAGGAGTTCGAGTAAAATTGGAACGATTGTACTTACATAAGAAAGATGATTAAAGGTGCATCAAGATCTTACCATCCCTATCACGATTCGGCCAGGTGCTTAAAATTAACTAAGGCACGAGCAACGGTCAGACAGTATTAACATCTGACTATCCACATTTTTTTAGCTTCAATTACATATAAAAGAGCCACTAACACAAAGTGTAATAAAATTTAAAGCATCCAGAAACAATAACATCCAAAAATAACATCTCAAGCCAGTATCGAACATTATATCAATGTCTAAAAGAAACAGTAAAGGGAAACTATCTTCGTAAAAAATATACCTAGCAGTAATGACCATCTTCTAGTAAACAAAGTCTCTTTTGTTGACCTCGCTACTACAAATTGTTTCTTGCTCTTCCAAGAGACCAAGTTGTCCCCTAGAATATGCAGTATCCTGAGGTGGATCTTCTGTCATCTGCACAACTCGCTCAGTCAACATCACAATAGCCTTCAATGTCTACATAACCATTCTTCTTGAAGATCAACCCCTTCCCTGGTGCACTCTTCAAGTACCTCAAAATCTGATACACTGCGTTCATATGACCCTTGGATCATGCATATAGCAGCTCAATGCACTCACTGCAAATGAGATGTCCTGACACATGTGACTCAGATAGATCAGATGACCCACCAATCTCTGGTATCTCTCACGATCAACTGACTCTTTCGCCTCTGCACTCAGCTTAATCTTCTGATCAATTGGAGAGACTGCAAGCTTGCATCCCAGCATGCATATTTTTGTGAGAAGATCTAGTACATAATTTCTCTGAGATAATGTCATCCCCTATGGTTCATAAGCCACCTCAATCCCAATATAGTATCTGAGTTGTCCAATGTCCTTCATCTCAAATTTTTTGCCCAATCCAACCTTTAGTTGCGTAGCCTCTATTTCATCATTACCAGAGATAATTGTGTCATCAACATACACAACATGCATAGTAATGTGACCACGATTTTGATAAAGGAACACCGTATGGTCGACATTGATCTGCTGATATTTCATGCCCACCATAGTTTATTTAAACTTGTCAAACCAGACTCAAGGAAACTGCTTCAAGCCATAAATCAATTTTCTGAGCCCGCACACCTTGCCCACTGTCTGACCTATGCAGAATCCTGATGGTATGTCCATAAACACCTTCTCCAGTAACTCGCCGTGAAGAAAAGTATTCTTCACATCAAGTTGGAATCAGAGAAACCAGTGGTCTCACTTTGCTCATCTTCACTGCAGGTGCAAAAAGCTCGTCATAGTTAATGTCATATATTTGGCTTTACCCTTCGCCACTAACTGTGCCTAACACTCCACTTTCTTTCTGGATTTTGTTTTATTGTGAAAATCCACTTGCACCTAACTGCTCTTTTCCCCGTTGATAATGGTACTATCTCCTGCGTCCCGTTCTTATCGAGAGCAACAAGTTTCTCCAGAATGACAGTCTTCCACTTTAGGTTTTCCTTAGTTACCTGACAACACTTGGGGTGTAAAGACAGTATCTAAGGATGCAATGAATGCTCTGTGTACAGATGATATGTTAGAGTATGAGACAAACTAAGGAATGTCATGTGAGAAACCAAAACAAACAAGAAAAAAAACATCAGGAGAATGACCTGTATTGTTGGGAGAGATCCTCCTTAAAGCCATGAGAGTGGAGGAGAAGGGAGAGTAATCATGTCACCTAGGTAATTAGATTCTGAAGTGGAAGGTGTAAGTTTCTCAAGAGTAGGGGTAGATTGGGACAAAAGACTTCATGACATGAGTGGCATGGTAGACACTATTCCCTCATCCTACCTCCTCATCCTTGTATACACTCTCAGCTCCCTTTGAGTTTGAATCTCTCCATCTTCAGGTTCATTTTTCTCCTTTTTCGGCTCTTCCTTGGTTGATCCTTCCCACAAAATGGGAGAAGGTGTGGTTCCCACATACACCAATATTTGACTATCACTACTCTCCCCCTCACGCCTCATACCTTCATTATCTGATGAATCACCAAAATGTGAGGTCATTTCCAGGGTTTAGTAAGGTTTAACTTCTCCAAAGGACATAACCATGCTCATAAACAGTCTCTTCTCTATCAGACTCCAACAAAACATACCCCTTATAGGTAGCAGAATAACCCACGAAAACACACCTCACAGCTCTAGGATATATTTTTCCCACCGATGTTTTGTTGTTTTTCACAAAATATATACAACCAAAAACCTTCAATGCGAGTATTCAACTATTGTCTCCTTTCAACATCTGACAAGAACTCTCCCAATCCAAAACTCTCAATGTCATTCTACTGATCAATTGAGTCATTGTCAAAATTGTTTGCCCCCGTTAAGAGCTTTGGGATATTCATCATGATCATCATGGTTCGAGTTACCTCCAGAAAGTGTCTATTCTTCTTCTCCTATTCTTTTTCTTTGCGTCTCTGTTTTGTGTTAGTATGTATGAACATGTGGTTTGATGTTGCATCCATGGGGCTGACAAGTCTTCCCCAAACGCTATGCTGATATATTTTATTTCATTATCATACCTCAATACCTTCACTATTGTGTCGTATTAAGTTTAGATCGCCTGTGAAAGTCATTAAAGCAGGCAAACAACACTTCTTTCTCATCAGATATAATCAAGTAACATGAGAAAAATAATCAACGAAAGTCACAAAATATCTGTAACTATTTATAAAAGTTGTAGAACAAGGACCACATACATCTGAGTGCACCAAATCAAAAACACAATAACTCTTTTTACTAAAACTAATAAAAGAGCTCCTGGTATGCTTACTAAACTCACAAGCATCACACAACTTTTTTTTTATTTGTTTTTTCATACAATGATGAATACAAACGACTCAGTAGACTAAACGAAGAATGCACATGCGCTATGATCTAGCAACAAAATATCCTCCACGTTGTTCTCAGATCCTCCTACCCCAGCATTCTCAACCATAGATGCCAAGGTCGAGTCTATCCCCTCTCTATCCAAATACCAGAGTCCACTATTTCACGTGTCAACCCCAAGTCTCCAGCCAATCCCCTTCTCTTGAAAGATCACCTTTGAAATGTCAAACGAAGTAACATATTTTAGTTGGAGTATAATGACACGAAAGGATAAAAGGGGTTTATTAGAAATGAAAGAGCATGCAAAATATTAGAAAATGCCATAGAACTGGTACGTCTCATTATTCATTTACCAACCACAGGTTGTGTTGAACTATCAGCAGTCTGAATGTTCTATGAAACTGTTAGGTGAGTATAAAAAGAGAACTCACTAGAGGCACCTGGCACATGTCGAGATGCACTAAAACCTACTATCCATTCTGATGATCTTGTGATGGATATAGAGACGAGAGCATGTGTATCATGAGTACATTTGGTTAAGTGAGCATAACTAGCAGTGTTTCCCTTGGATAACAATAAAGTGGATGCACCCTCAGTCACATTACCTGTCACTCCTTGTTTCCTCTTCAACATCTTCAGTAACTTGTGATACTCTTCGGTAAAGACTACCCTTATTTTTCCCTTGTTCTTTGCTACAATCAAATTTTCCCTGTAACCTCCTCTTACACCCTTGGGCCCCCACGATTACGATCGCCTCTTTATTATTCACGTCCAACCTTCTCTCTCTCCTTGGGTGGTTTTGGACAAGTCATGCTCAAGTGTCTCACTTCTCCACAGTTGTAGCACCTGCGGGACAACCTTGGGCATCTCAATACAACCAAAGCCAATCGTGTACCTGGAAGTCCACTCAACTCAGAGTATAGACTTATGCGACTCTCCTCTTTTATAATCAATATAACTATTCCTCAATCTTCCTCAGTCTCTAATGCATGTAGAACCAAATTTCTCTCTTTCACCGCTACTTCTTTTGTTTAGCAAAAAGACAGGGTCACGACATACAAAATATCTAAAATCCCCTGTTGTGTCACAGTAGCAAAGTCACTCTAGCTTCTCTTTTCAAGCAAGCACTATTCACGCCTCTTCTGTTCGTGAACACCCGCCGCTCCTCCCTGCCTCACATCGCGTTCCTCCCTACAATCTACACCGAAGCCCTTTCCTTTGTCTGCGTCTCTTTCCTGCGCCGTACGAGTCTAATCTCGATTCATCGGCCTTTGTCTTGACTAGTGAGGAAGGCAACGATTGAATCTCAACACACAAAGACCTTCAAAATACCTATCTTCCTCTTCCTTCGTCTCTCTACCGCTCTTTCCTAGCCAATGTTCCAAAGCAGTGCCACACTCCTTCCTCTTCCTCCGCTCTGCCCTATCTTGCACGCCAGAGTCGCTACCCTACCCCGCAACGACTTGCTCCTCTCTGTGCTGAAGCCGCAATCCACACCTTCTTGCGTCAAAACCCTGACGCGACCTCCTTTGTTCCTTCCCAGTGAGCAGCGATCGCATCGTTACCTTCCCAGAGAACTGCGATCCCGTCTGTTGCTTTCCCAGCGAGCCATGATCTCGCCGTTGCCTTCCCAGAGAATTTCGGTCCCGTCTATTGCCTTCCCAGCGAGCTACAATCCTGTCGTTACCTTCCCAGTCGCGGCTGCTTCGCGATAAAGAAGCAGAAGGTATGCTCCCACTCGCCGCCGCTTGCACCGAGTGGCGATCCCGTCCGACTGCTAGGATTAGGGGTCCCATGAAGAAATGATTTTGAGAAAGATACATTTTTTTTCATTCATGAGTTGGCTTCTATAATTTTTTACAAAAAACTCCTATACTTCTATATTTTTTTATTTACAATCAGACCCCTCAAAATAAAATTTAAATCTCAACAAGAAAAATAACAAATCTTCAAGTAGTACCAAAGAAACAAGTTAAAAGGACATACACCAGAAGGAAGGAAGAAATGAGGAAACAATCTATATCCTCTCTTTTAAAAATTTGAACCTAGCATATTTCATGGCCTTTGCCTGCAGCACATCATAGTGCATAAAAATAAAAAAAATCATCTAATAAAAAGCTCTAATGCTAGCATGTCCGATTTATGCTAGGCCGAATCAGGATGGGCATCCTTTTGAATGATAATAAGATCCAGGGGCAAGAACAATCTCGCTTATAAACTAGAGTTTAAAAGGTACGGTGCACAAAACTTGAAAAGGAGAAGACTGGAGATTCAAAAGTCATCATTGAGTTGTTATATGTTCAAATTGTTACAAGTTCAAACATGAAGTTATTAAGAATAATGATGCAGATTGAGTTTGAAATGGAAAGAGGAATAAAGAGAGAGTTTTCTGTAAAAGCTGGATTGCAAAAAGAGTTAAGGTTTATTTCTCCAAGTATAACCAATTGATTAGGGGAATCAAGCGTGCACCCATACAATCAACAAACTGGTAAGCTTCTTCTTCATAAGGTTGCTTTATAATAAAGATGACTTTTCCAATGGGCTCAAACTTGTCATCTTGATGGTGGTGAGCAAAAACATGATGACAGAAGACAAGGACTAGATCTCCCAATTCAAGGTCCTCGGTTGAGGCAGTCAATTGTGAGCATGGGCCATGTAACCATGCTAAAGCTCAAGATTTTAACACACCTAAAATTGCAATTCATCCAAAATATAGATTTCTTCTACCCTACACCCGGCATTCTCTTCATGAGTGCTGCATACAATTAGGGAAGCTATACCTCTACAGGAAAGTAATTTCAGCACTGCCAAGATGCAGAGAGTCAACTATGTTGTCTTATGGTAGGTAGTCAAGTAAGCATACAGCACCTTTATCAACTTGTCATACGATTCCTGATTGTTAGTGAAGAGGAACTTCATTCTTAAGCCATTTTCCAAGAGTAGTAAATAATGGTGTATCATCAGTCGATCTTGTGAAGGCAAGGAAACCGAATAAATTTCATACTCTTGAGGGATGTGCCATTATCTCAAATGATAGATGCAACGCACCAAAGCACTAAACAATGTGATCTCCAAACTACTCAAACATATTATTTTCCATCACTTCTCTAATAAAAATAGCTTTTGTCCATTTCAAGAAGTTAATCAGTCGCAATAAGAATAAACCTATGGTCTTTGGAAAGAGGTCTAATAGGGCTAACAATGCCCATATCTCAACTCTCAAAAGGCTTAGAGAGCATAGTAGGATAGAGTGGAATAAAAAAATTGCAGCTAGACCCTGCCATGGATCTAGCATTAATAGCACTTCAGGGTGTGCTCAATACAATTTTAAAATATAATAAGCCAATAATAACCAAGATACTTGATCTTATCTTTGTCTTAGGGCCAAACTAGTGTGCTTCATAATGTTTAGCTTGCACCTCGTATGCAGCTAAGGCAGTGCAAACACATTTGGAAAAATGAGTGTTGATATAAAGTATGAAAATAATAATGCTCTTTTCTTATTTAAACAGAGACGGATCAATCATCAAAACATTTCCCCCATTATAGATACTCAATAAAAAACTCTTTCTAACCTGACTCATCCCCAATCATTAAGAATGCGAGTGTTTGATCAAAATTTCACAAGTTTGTGGGAGACAAAATCTAACAATGTTGAATAGTGATGGGAGATAGGATCATTATTTGTTAGTTCTTTGGCAAGTTTGGTGAGTCTGTCCACCATATCATTATCACAATATGAACCTCTCGGCCCTATCACATTTTAAAAAACATGTAAGAGCTCCATAGCTTGCTGATTATAGTCGAATTTAGAGATTTTGAAGATCTCTACAATTTAATTGAAAATTGGTTGAAAATCTCACATGATCCAAATTTACTAAATGCTCATCTAAATGGTCAACTCTAGTCCTACTATCAAATTCCTATGTTTAGCTTTGTCATTCTCTTTCAGGTGACACAAAATAAAGCCCAAGCATAACCTAATTCCAATGTTTTGAAAACCATATCGGATTGGCCAGTTCAATCGTGAACTGGTGGTTGGTCCGGTCCAAATATAATAAGGAACTTTTCTGCAATTGAAGCGCCCGGAACTGTATGAACCTGTTTGACCAGCGGATGGGATACCTGATTCCATGATTTGAATATGTATGTATGTATTAATATGAATATACAACTATATATTAATGTTATATGATACTTAGTAGAAAATGATTATTTGACCACTCAATGTATGTTAAATGAAATTAGATTTAGATGTGAATGGGTTTGTTATTTTTAATAAATTAAGCAATATGTTATTCACAATTATTGGATGAGTCTCAAGACATATCTATTGAAATTATTTTTATTGATAAACAAAACTATATTTATGGTAATTTTACTAGATAATATAATTTGTGCCCCCCACTAAACAGAATTTTGGCTTCGCCCCTGCCCACAAGTCCCTAACATTCCTTCCAATACTATGCGGCTTCTCTACTTCTCCGTTCAAGACAGTGTGGGACAGAGAGAGTGGGAGTTCCATGTCATTCGCTGTCGTTCACCTACAGTTCGCCATCAGCAAGATTATTAGAAGCTTTTGTTTTTTTTTCCCCCTTCGTTTTGGTGTTCCAGTTTAGCCATTAGGATAAGGAAGATGGGTTTTGCTTAGCCTGTTTTCCAATAATAATTCCATTCAATAACTGCAGTGCATCCTCAGCATTACTCCTAAGAAAAATATCCTAAAGCAATAAATTTATACATAACCAAAATGAAAAATAAATGTTATTGTTCAGCTTATACTAAATCAAATTTAATTAAAAGGCTTAAAGAAAATTTACTTGTAGACAGATTCCACAAAATCACATTGTTCCCCACTTGGAGAAAGATCACCAATAATGGTAACAGGAGGGTCAAGCCCACCAACAAATACCTAAGGCACTAGAAAGATCACCGGTTCAACTCTCGGTCATACTACAAATTAGGTCGTATTTAATTAATTTTAGTATTCATTACATCATCTGGTTCAATCCCGTTCAACTCATGAATCTTGAACTTCTCTTTTTATCAGTTTGATGTTTGGTTTGATTTTCAAACCCTTGCCTAAATCTAAGCAATTGATTAGGTCGTATTTAATTAATTTTAGTATGTATTACATCATCCGGTTCAATCCCGTTCAAATTCATGAATCGTGAACATTTCTTTTTTTTTTTGGTTTCATGCCTGGTTTGATTTTCAAACCCTTGCCTAAATCTAAGCAATTGATTGGACAAAATCCCAAGCTATATTGAATAGATCTTAAGCCCCGTTTGGGGCAACTTATTTGGTGTGGTGCATTTTGAAAACGCACCTAAGATCGTTTGGGTAAACCGTCTTTTGACTGCCTATTCAAAAAGTTGTGTTTTCAAACAGTTGAAATCAGTGTTTTCACACCCTTTCTAGCTAGGTGTAGTGACATTCTGGTTTTTCAAAAAAAAAAACAAGTATAATAGCCACCGTAGCTTTTTGAAAAACAGATTATTTTTCAGCAGTTTATTAATAAGTTGCAGCTGCCCCAAACAGACTCTTAATCTACACTCAAGACTTGCTCTTTTGATAGAACAGCAGTCAACACACCGAAAAATTGGATAGGTTGCAATAACATTAGTTAGAGCCTATCTTTTGATGGTCTACAAAGAGATAAACATGATGTCAAACTATAAGAGAATCATAAAGCCAAACACTGAGAATCATAAAGCCAAACACTGATGATGCTAGACATGTCATCAGATAATGAAGCGCATTACCTTAAAATGAAGTTGAACATGCGTTAAAGCATATAATATCACAACTTCTACATCAGAGGTCAATACAACAACAACAAAGCCTTAGTTTCACTACGTGGGGTCGGCTACATGAATCATTTTTCTCCATTGCATCCTATTTAGTGTCATATTTTCATTTAGTTCTAATAAATTAAGATCATTTTTTATACAATAAGCCCAAGTCTTCCTAGGTCTATCTCTGCATTTTTTAACATAAATCGAATCTAAAACAACTACTCTCCTAATCGGATCATCAGATGGTAGACGCTTAATGTGACCAAACCATCTAAGACGACTTTCTCTAATTTTGTCTGCCACATGAGCTACACCAACCCTATCACAGATATATTCATTTCGCATTTTGTCTCTAACTGTAAAGCCACTCATCCACCTAATCATTCTCATCTCGGCAACACTTAACTTAGTATTATGCTTCTCTTTTGAAGGCCAACATTCAGCGTCATAGAGCATTTCAGGTCTCACCACCATCTTATAAAACTTTCTTTTCAGTCTAAGCGGTACTTTTATATCACACAAAAGGCCCGAAGCATTCCTCAACTTCAATCAACCAACTTGAATTCTATTATTAACATCCCCATCTATATTAACATCGCTTTGAACAACAAACCCGAGATATCTAAATCGTTCACACCTTTTATAATTTGATCACCCAAAGTTACACTTCTGTCACTAGAGCTACTACTACTAAAATTACATTCCATGTATTCAGTTTTAGTTCTACTCAAATGAAGGCCTTTAGACTCCAATGTAGACCTCCATAATTCTAGTTTTTCCTAGGCTTTTTCTCTCATCTTATCCACGAGAAGGATATCATCAGCAAAAAGCATACACCAAGGTACATCCTCCTGTAAATGTTCAGTAAGACCATCCATAACTAAAGCAAAAAGATATGGGCTTAAAGCCGATCCCTGATGTAATCCAACAGAAATAGAAAAATATTTTGATATCCCAATTGAAGTATGGAAATGTTTAGGAGATTTGGGAGTTTCTTGGCTTACTAAACTCTTTAATATTGAACAATATTTTTAAATACATGAGCACATAGCTTGCAAAATGAAAGATCAACTAAGGCAATAAAGTACATTTTCATCATTGAATGGCGATAATATAGCACCAAAAGATTCATTCAACAAGATTGCATAAGAAGGTAGTTGCATTCAAGTTGCCATTTATGCTCTCAAAGCCTGAGAGCAGCTGACATCCTAGTTGAATAGGGCATCCTTTTTCACAAGAATGGAAAAGAGTTGGTATCTATTACCAAGGGATGACATAAACATCATAAGAAAGAAAGCTTGTCCAAGAAAAATCTCAATTGAATTACACCACTCAGAGCTTCCATATCTAGTATAGGCATGATCTTCAAGGATTTGATCCTAATTTTTTTGGTACTCCGAGGACATACTTCAAGGGAATCACTTTTTGGACATACATATATAGATGCTCGCACACAATCCATAGATATTTAAGATGGTCCTTCTAGACTCTACACTTGACGATTATGTCATCTAAGTAATAATCAATCTATTGATACTTGATGTAACTGAAGGTGCGCGTTATAACATTTTGATGGGTGGATCTTAAATTCCAAGAGCATTACCTTGTAGCAGTAAATGACTTGAGAGTATAGAGTGATCTGAACAGCACATGTTCAAGGCTAATATTAATTTAATTATATTTGAATGAACATTCCATAAAGAAAAATGCGATAAATAATGATACAATGTTAACTATGAGTAGAAAAATAGAGGAGGAAAATTGTCATTGAGGAAGTTTTGTTCAAATCATGCAAGTCAATGCATACACAAATATATTCATTCTACTTTCAGGCTGGAATGACGTTGGCTAGCCAAACTATATTTATCTTCTTAAATTTCAAGCAACTTCTTTGTTTTGGTTATCAATCACATGTTATTCAATCCCTAAATTCATTCTGAGAGGGAGTGGAGCTTCCTAAAAAGGATTGCCACAAGTCTAACGGTAAGTCTATAAACTACTGCCTACGGAGCAAAATCTGGCACTTTACGATATTCCAATAAAAATATAATAACAAAATTCATGCAAGAGTTCCACCAACATTTGTGTATCTATCTTAGAAATCTAACAAAAGAATGTTGAGGATCAACATCCGAACCTAAATTTATTTCGTGGAGCCATCAATGATGGATTGAAAATCCTCAATGAATTCATGGTGGCCTATCCTCGTTGTCATTTTTTGGATCTTCAACCTCATTTGAGATGCAGACAATAAGAAGAGAATTTGTGATAATAAAACTAATGGTAATATGGGGGCTCCAACTCTAAGAAATGAATGATCTTAACCACCTCCAATGGCCTCCAAGGCCTTCCCTTGCCGCTTTATTGTCACCTTAAGGTCATACTATATCTAACTCTCAAGAAGGAACAATCTAGTCATCTTCAGTGCATACATATCCTTCAAAAGTAACTCTAATGTTGCCTTCAAGTTATCTATCTCCACCAACAAGGGATGATCAATTTGGTTGCCTCTAGTGGCCTCTCTGACCTTCTAGCGTCACCTCTCCCATCATATTAAAGCCATATCATCTTCATCTCTCAGAGGGGCACTGCCTCAACTCTAACCTCATTGCACCAATAATACTGATAACACTAGCAACATCACAGTTTCACTTGTATTATAATAACACCTTACCTGAGTTCATCAAATTATGATTTATCGCTACTCATACATAGTACTTTTAGAAGTTTTTTCAATAAGGCAGATCCCCATATGTTTCCTCTTTTCCATGTTTTCAACCTAAAAATACTTATTTGATCGCTTTACTTCTTTGATTGAGTGGGTAATGTCTCTCCAAACTAAGACAATCAAAATATCTTCATACATCGACTCATCTTTCTAGCATGCAACAAACATAAACAAAAGTTGCTCGGCTTTTAGCCCAAATGAAAGTATTTTAGAAGTTGGGAGACTGACTTAATCTCAATCAATGTTCAGTGATCCGCTAAAGGATATATATGAAGAGATATAACAGCGAAGCTAGTTTACTAACTTATAGCAAATTCAATAACAGACTCTACAAATCATCAATCTCACACCAAGTATATTAGCTAATAAGTTACTAGTTTTCCTCGTGTTCAGTAACCGAATACATAACTAGACATTTACAGAAGAAATTCTCATCACCTGGTGTTTCATTATCAAGCACGTTCGATATTACTCGATCAGATTTGACGTCCTGCAAGGGTCCCCATTCATCCCAGGCATTTTCGCCGTAGTGCAGATCGGCAAACAATGCGATCTTGAAAGACGAGCTTCCAGAAAACCGCAGCCCCTTTCCAACCCCAAGACCATCTTCCCTACCACCTCCACCACCGGCTGCAGGAATCGACACAGTACTGATAGCTACTGCAACTATAAGAAAAGCCGGGAAGGAGTACAAAAGAATCTTCCTTCTGTTCATCTCAAATCGCTGCAAGTATGTTGAAACTTCAGCAAAGTTACCACCACTTCCTTTCCTCTCCTCCTCCATTATAGAATCGAATCCTAATGGGACTATACCTAGTTCAAGAAAACCGGGGCGTTTGGTTTGGTGAGCTGTTAAGATATAAACTACAAACCAAGATATAAAAAATCTAAAAAATCAATGGTTCAATTGACGATGATCGGTTACCTGAGCCATTGATGAACAAAGGAAGATAGCGTGCTCATCGAGTAACGGATCAATGGAGTTCTCTGAACCAAATGGAGCCAGCTGTTCTCGCCGCAGTCGAAATCCGGAAATAGCTTAACCTTGAGAGGCGGCGAGTCGCCGGCTCGCCGGAGAAACGCAGGGCTGCCCTTCGAGGCCTGAGGGCGAGAACAGAGACGAAGAAGCTGGCAATGAGAGTATTTCTCACTTCTCTCTGTTGTTGAGCAGTTGGAATCTAGCACCGGAGAGATTCTTCGTTGCGGTTGAAATGTAAAATTATAATTTGGGCAGCCAATTCATTATATTTAATGCCCTTTGGGGGCAGCTATAAGTGCGGGAGCATTTTTTAAAACGACGTGATACCATTTGGATCGCATGTTTTGCCCATTTATCTAAAAATATGGTTGAATTTTTATACTAAATGCAGGCCGCGGGGCGAACCCCACGGTCCGCGTTTCAGGATAAGTTGTTTATCCTAAAACACATAAGCTGCCCCAAATGCAACCTATATTGAAGGCCTGTTTAGGGCAACTTATAAGTGTTGGGACGTTTTTGAAAACGCCGCATTATCGTTTGGATCGCACGTTTTGCCTGCTTATCCAAAAACGCGGTTGGATTTTTATACTAAACGCAGATAGCGGATCGAACCAAGCAGTCGACCCGCAAGCTGAGTTTCAGGATAAGCTTTTAGGTGTTTGGTATGTACAAACCTTTTATTATTATTATAAGAATTATCTTATGAATATAGCAATTAAAATATCTATATTTATATATATAGCACCAGAAATATTACTATTCACAAAATCTAATACCCATGTGTTGAATTCTTTTGGGGACACGGGTTCCTGTGTTTGGGGATACATGCTACCCGAAAAAAGATCATTTATGATATAGAAGAAGAGAGAAGTAAGAAAGAGATGATCAAATTCACCCTTCATATTTAGGATTATGCAAATGAAGCTCTTTCTTTAGGGGATTTACTTACTCCCAGTGTTGCTACTTATTAGCCTGTGCTTGGAACAGAAGTGAGAGGTCGAGAGAGAGAGATATTTTCGACAAAGAATCTGGTCTCTCCAATTTTCCTCCCCGATACATGAGGAACCCTTAGACAGTTTTAATGTGAATGAGATTTACCGTCGTTGAAATTGTTGGATTGTTAGGCATGAACAGTACAGTTGGCATTCAAGAGACTAAGGCCATGGTATCCTAACGAAGCCTTCGTTGAATACCTTAAAACATGAATGGCACGGGTATTGTCGCTGGCTTGATGAAAGACATTTGCTTTAATTGTTTGGTGGTGTCCTTTATGAAGGATTTGATAGGTGTCTTCATTAGTATGGTTGACATTATTAATTCTGCTTTGCCCAGGCCACCCTTTCCGATGGATTGAGTTCAGTCACTTCGCCCAATGGGCTCAGTTCAAACACTCTAGCCAGCTAGCTTGATTCAGCCACTTCGACACTTCAGCAGGCGGGCTCAATTCCTTACGGTTCGACCTTCTTTATATTCTGATATTTGTTCCTTAACAATTTCACTCTGGTGGGGCTCATGTACACTTGTAGGCACCAAAAACCATAGTTTGAAACCCCTGAAATGGTCATCTCTTAGCTACATGATTGTATTCTAGCGATACACAAGTTTCCATGACTTCCAAATCGACGAGAACCTTCCTACGGTCAACAGAGCAAAAACTAGGATAAAATCGGCCCGAACCCGAATTTCTCCAAAATGGATGTGGGGAATCATGACGACTACCCTTGTCCTCAAAAAAGTCTGGATTGATGGAGCTGGGTCTCTCAACATCAGAATGGACGTAAAACAAATCCGAAATCAAGGCTAACCCCACCTTACAATGAATTTTCCCGGGTATGGTCAAAATCCTAATTTCGTGCTCATGACACGTACCGGGAGATCCGATGAATATCTTAGGCGGGGTGAAGCTAGACATAGTCATGTGTTGTTTAAATAGGCATCTCTTATACGTGACATCAAAAATTGATGTCAATAATCTCTATATATATATATATATATAATCGGAATAATTTCATGAACGGGGACACGTGTCATCAATTTAAAAACTTAACGTGTTAGCACGATCTTCTGCCATTCCAAGTGTCATAGCTGGCTAAGGACGAAATCACGAAGAAGGACATTGGAAAAAGGCTGAATTAGCTGTCTTGGCATAACGTGAGGAAATTGCTCCAAAAGTCTCCATCAATTGAGAAAATATGCCGTCTATTAACTTAACAGCTCAACAGATGTCAATTTCTCAAAAGCCCATTTTTGTTTTTCTTTGAGAAAGTTGAGTCCATAAGTAACATGGCCTTGTGGGCCTATGGCCTTATGGTAATGAATGATAGAAATTTATTCATTAGCTTTATGATTAATGTTAGATATATACATATATATATATATATATATATACAAGTTGTGCTTATAAAATAAAATAACTTAATTTCATTTATTTATTTATTTTTAGAACTAATCAGTAAACTTTATTTTATTTATTTAATTATTATTTAACTAATTTTTAATTTTCTAAATTTAAAAATGTTAAAACCTCGAGTTCAAAAATGAACTCAGCTCAAAACATGTTATACATATAATATGATGTTGGAATAAGATTCGAGCACACAATATCTTGTTTGAACCCTATGCTATTCTTTGTTACTCTTATTTTGAACCTATATTTCGGATTTAAACATAATTTGAATTAGGTTGAAATGAAGTTTGAGAACGTATGCTATGTTTAAATTTTGTTTAAACATATATTTTTATTAACCTTTGAGTTCGACAATAGATTTGAAACGTATGTTCGAAACTCAGTTTGAATAAAGTTTGAGCGTAATATAAATCTCGTACTATAGTTACAAAATTTATTGAAACTGATTAAATCATAAGTTTTAAATGTAGAGTTTGACTATTAGTTTCAAAATAGAGATTCAAATCTTACTTTGAACTAGGCATGAATAAAGTTCAAACCTATCATATAAGGTTTGAACTTCAAATAAGATTTTTTGTTTCATGATAGAGATTCAAATTTAGGGTCTCTTTGGGACAATTGCAGTTTATTAAAAAGTTGTTGTGTAGCAGTTGTGTTAGGATGCTGTCGCGGGAAGCTGTGTGTCTATTTATTTGTACAGCTGTGTAGCAGCTGTGCTGCAACCGTTTTTGAAAAAAATGATATTTATGCCCTTATTCTATTATGTTGTTTGTAACAGAATCAATCCTCATTGCATATTTCATACATAAGAATATATATTCAGTTTGAATATTACGTAATAAAATATGACACCTTATTAAACAATGAGCAACACAACAATCAAAACTTAAAATAAAACTATTAACATGACAATTAATATTATCATAGTATTGAACTTAAAATTCAAACGATTAATTTCATGAGATAATCTCCCCTTCAAAAGAAACTCTCCACTCCTGATCATTATCGGATGTGGAATCATCGAACTAATCCACCCACCTAAAGAAGTCACAGTTCTCTGATATATTCCTTGGATACCTGTAAAATTGTCTCCTATAACTATGCTCCTATCACAAAGTAAGAAGAGAACACTGCAGTCCACAATAGCAGTGCAATACTCGGGAGACACTATAAGACCTCGAGCTCATATTTTCTAAGGATTTAAACCCAAAAAGCATGGTCCTTTAGATGCAACATTAGTAAAAAAATAATAGAAATACACAATTAAATTTTATAAAGTTGTGTTGTCTCAGAGAACATAGTATAAACTGACAAATAATCTGTCTCTACTAGAAGATAGTAAACCTTTTAAGAAAATGGTGGTTCTTGGTTGCCTTTAAACCACATAATATCAAGTTCGTATGTGTCAAAAAAGCATATCACCTCAAAGGCCAAACAGAAGAACCCTAACATTCATACGAGTGAAAAAAGAAAGGAACTTGACTGCCTTGATAGTGATTTCAAACATGTCAGAACCCATAGCAACATATAGACCATTTAGAAGAACCTGTAAGGTCGTACATCTCATCATACACCTAAAAAATATATGCAATAAATAAACACTTGAAATATTATATTAACGGTTGCTTCGGAGGCCATCCATGTGGAAAACAATGCATACAAAAGAAGCAAAAATAAAAGTTGCACCAAATTGAGATTCAACATGAACATTGTTACACATACCGTCGCTATAATAAATATTAAGTGTTTTGACAACACATTGTACAAAATAAAAAAAAACATACATCATTTTTTTCATCTGCTGACTATGACATATGTGCTTTGTTCTCTTAACTCCGTCATCTCCCCATCACCTTCCCCATTCTGGGTACAAGACTCAGGCAAATCCCTTTCAATCTATGATATTGGCTATCATAGATGATATTATTTTCTCAAATTTTTTTGAGACTCGAAGTCGCCAGCTTGTCTATTTATATGTCGTAGTTTAATTCATTTATTCTAATAAATCTCCCTCATGAATCATATCAATGATTCGAATATGAGAGGAATCGAAAAGAATGATATATAACAACAAATAGGAAAACAAATAAAAAGAAATACTTAAATATGGGTAATCCTCGTGTGATGGGTTGAGAGTATACATCTGAATAGGATCAGATTGAAGTACCTCGAAACACAACAACCATGAAGAGAATCTCTACATAAGGCACATGTAACCAGATAACCAAAAAGAAGATTTTTATTCTGGGGTCAAGAGTCTCCCAAAAGAATGTATCCCTCTTATTAATTATATCTTGAGATACCCAATAATACTCTCGATAAAAAGATTTGCACTTATATTATCACGAATTTGGAGAATAGGTCATCAAAGGATAGTTATTTTGTATGGGAATGCTCTAATGCTTCATAGCTCTCAATAAGTCACATGATAGAGAGTGAGTCACTTACATCCTAAATAGGTAGTGGCTCATCAGCATCAAAACCTATGAAATAACCAAAATCATCTCGATGGGAATATCTCTATACATTAAAGCTCAACGGGCCATAAGGGTAGAGGGTGAATCACCACATCCCAAACCGGCGACAACACATCGATAATCATACCGTCAAGATGATATTAACGAAGTCAAAGGAGCGACAAGGGAGGTTCAAAAAGAGGAAGATAAGTAATCCTAAAAGGTAGAGGTAACCGGGTCGGGATATCACAGTCTTTTATTACAAGCTATTAGGACTCTAAATCTACTTGGTCGTGAAAGTGGTTGACTCAACATGTCTAGAGATCATCGGTCAACAATCAATAAATTGCATCATCCA